TTAACCACTGGGCGAAACATTATTTCATGCAAATTTACTGAAACTGTTTACTTACGATTAATTTCATTAATGATTGCGAGTTTCCAACGGTAATCAATTTTCGTTGATTGTGCACAATGACAGCTCTAACGGGAAGTAAAACCCGAGCTGTAGGAATGAAAAAAAATTGACAGTGAAACGTGCAAGACTGAAAAGACAGAATAGTGGACGAGTATGCAACGCAAACGCAGTCAAGTATTGAAGGCAAGAGCACTCGCAAATGACAAGCGTATAAGTAGCTAATGACTGGATTCGCGCATTAATCTCTCTCGGCTTCGCTGGCTTGCATCGAGAGAGAGAGAGAGAGAGAGAGAGAGAGAGAGAGAGAGAGAGAGAGAGAGACGTGCTCTGCGCGGAGCAACAACTGGTTTGTGTCCACGGGCTATATATCCGCGGCGCAACGATTGCATTGCCCAAATCCCCCCGGTGTTCATTAATAGACTGGAGCCGCAGCGCCACGTCGAGTGGGCGCCATGCGCGAGAGATCGGCTTTATATACTTGAGATTTAATTCGGTGGGCCGCGCCAACTGCGAGCCCGCTCGGAATTGATGCGCGATGCGCGCCGCGCGCTATCCAAACGGAAGATTAGCCTTGTTTATTAAACACGATTGTTCCGAGCCTCGACGCAGCCCGATCAGTCACTCGAAAGTTCTTGCCTTTCCGCCGAATTTGGCTCGCTCGTGCTCGCCACATCGCGGTTATTACAACGCTTACCCTTGCGATGCGCCGAATGTCGCAACATTCTCAATGCTCGTACGTATAGAGCTTTCACGGCTGATTAGAGATTCAATAAGTTGCTGATTAAGCATTCAAGTGACGTTTCACCTTAACGTAATATTGCTAAAATGTAAAATAATTATTTAATAGGTGAAAGATGATGAAGTGAAAAGTCACTTAAATGTTTAATTAAAATTACAATTAATATCTAATAATGGAACTAGAGCAGGAATCAGCAACTTATTAGGTTGAAATTTGTAATGAAGAAAATTATTACTTCATAATACTATTATCTCCATTAACCAAGGAAAACGTCATTTTCCATAATTCGAGTTTCCAATAAATGATCCAATCCAGTCCTCGGTTCATTATTTCAATATTCTGGTTCTCTTATTGCGTTTATGGTATACAATTAAATCCATCATTTTTTTTTCAATAAACTTTTAAAAAACTTAAGTCTAAAAAACTTAAACACGATAACGTTCAGCTCAATTCCTGAATATGATATTTTTTCTTATAAAATAGCCTAGTTCGAAATAATATTACACTATTACTTTATGAGTTCCATTAATAAATTGCGTATATACATTTAAACAGACGTAGAATATACCGAAGCGATGGATAGTTTAATATTGCATAATTACTACTTCTATCTTTGGACAATAACATGAGTAAAACAAGTTTCAAATTATGTAGATATTAAGGCAAAAACTAAATATTAAACCATTGAGTGAATAGGGTTACTCTTTATTGACCTCATTTAATGAAAATTCAAACTACAAAACAACCTGTAAGTATACAGTAATTCTGAAATAAATGTTTTGACGTGCCTCCTTACAGTTTCTATTATGATGTCATTGTACGTACATATTCTTAGTATTCGCAGATCTTGTACGTCTTTATAAAAGCAACAAAACAGGCAAGACATTGATTTTTATTTTAATCTATAAGAAATATAAATAACTACATATTAGAACAGTCTCTAAAAGTCGACTATACATCATAGCAATAAAATTAAAACTGAGTAAATGTCATAAGTAATATATTGAACAACATTGTTCGTATGCATGCGAATGTTAGAATTGTAAAAAAAAGAAAAAAAAAGAATACAAGTACGTAACGTCTTACAAACGCATCAGTAAAGTGTCGTAAAAAAATGCATATCGTTTATTCTCTATGTACACCTTGCGTATCTTCGAGCACGCCCTTTAACGAGGCAGCTTGTCAGGATACAGAAGACGCACAGGAATATACAGTCCCGTAGGCTTAGCGATACCCAAGAGGCGATATCGACGAGGACTTGGATTTTTGCACGAGGTGCGCATAGAGTCCTGAGGCAGCGATAACCGTCGAGATTAGTACGAAATTATCGTCGTTTACGAGCTTGTCTCGTGCAGTGCACCTTTCTTCTTCTTGTTCTTCGCTATTTTTTTGTTTTTGCACGACGCACACACGCACTGAATAGATTTCCGTAATGGGAATGCACGCGCGTTTCTCCTCTCTGAGACTAATGGATCGGCCGGATTATGCATGTAAAGTATAGGAATACTTAATGCGCTCGCGTTATATACGTTTTAATCTTTCATTGCGATCGCGGCTTTTCGTATACGTAATGAATGAAAACGAGATGATCGGCCGATTTCGGTTTGGTATGATTTTCGATGGGTTTGATTTCGAATTTAGATTGCCATAAACCGTCGGCAAATTAAATAACGCGCTTGCCCGCGCCCGCTAACGATCGTCTCGTAAATTGAGCGCCGAATATCTTTTCGTTCTTTGTCTCTACGTACACGCAAATGACCATCAAGGCGTGCGCGCACGCAACAGTCTCGTAATACTTTCACCGCGTTATAAAAAAATCAAGTTATGTACCTTACACTTGGCGTACGCACAACGGAAGGTTGTAAATTCGTAAATTCGGTCGCGCCGTCAAGTGTGTACACGATGTCTTACTCAATCCTGAACCGAAGGAAGAAATTAACTCTCGGTCGTTACTCCTCCATATATGTATATATATTTCGGAGTAAAAGTCTTAATTGATTCGTACACGTTAATTAATTTGTCCATTCTACGGAGAAATGCGCGGGGCGAGGCAATTAAGTGTGACATTAACTGCGGCGCTCTCGAATCCGATGTATAAACAATTCGGGCGCGGAGGCCGTGAGTTTTTTCGGCGATTGCGCCGAAAAAATTGCTCTCTCTCTCTCGCGGCGGCAAGTCGTGATTTCGGGTTCGTTAAAGCGGCAGCTGCTCGTTGAGCGCGTCGTTTTGTCATACGCAATCTCGGCCAACGGTGCCGCGAGAGCAAAACAACGAGAAAAAGAGCGGAGGTGTGCCGTTACTTCCGATTATTCTTCGCTCGTGCGGTACACCTGCGCGTATGTATAATGAGAGGAGCTCTCCTGCGAGAGGTAATAAATGCCTCGTGACTCGTAAAAACCGAAGCTGACGCCGCGACCACGGAGTCCGTGAAAATCGCGAAAGGAGGCTGAGTTTTAACAATCCTCGGTGTACGACCGTGCGAGGGGAAAAGTCGCGCCTGTCCTCCTTTTCTCTCGCGAGAGCATAAATAATGGGCGCGAGCTGATAAAATTTTCGCGCGGCGGGCACGGGCAGGCAGATACGGTGGGTGTCGCCTCGCTTCATTTGTCTTGATATTGCTTTATTCATAAGTTCAAAGCAGCACTTAATAACGCGCATTAGTGAGTTATTGCAGTCACGGACTTTATACGCGCTCTCGCGCAAGAGAGATTATAAGTTGGCGCGCGTGTCTCTGCGCTTACGTGTGTGCGCGCGCGCGCACGTTCGCCGATTTAATAATTAACCAGTTTTCAGCGCGCGCGAGACGATAGCGAGCTGAAAATTTATTGGCGCGTCGAGTGCGAGGAAGGGGAAAAAAAGCAATGGAAATATCCACTGCAATTAGCCGCTCTGTCTGTCGCGCTGAAAATTTTCGCGCTTGTGCGTGCGATTAGATTGCGCGCGCGCACCTAATTATGACATCGCACGCCGCGGCTAGTTGGAAATCCGCTGCGCGCGAGTAATTTACGACTTGTCATTCGAAGCTTAATTTCGCGCGTCGACTTGTCGAGTATGAATTCCGGAGTACTCGAAAATCCAAGGTACGGTGAATTTGAGGCGACGGCGCCGTATAAATCCTCGAGCTAATCGAAAGAATGATGAAGTAAGTTTGATCCTCGCGCGAGCATTATCTAATTTACAGGCGTGACGCTAAAAATCAGAGCTTAACAGAGAGGCAGTTAGATGTACTTTTAGCTGGGAGCGCAAGTCATATACTCTTAGTATATAAAGACACATGGCGTAGGAGGGTCGCAGGCAAGGCGAAGCGAAGCCTCGATTCATTTGTCTTTATATTAACGGCACCTGGCGCGCCTTATACCGAGCCAAAGCTGTTTCACTACTACCCTGTGTCAGCGTGTACTGGTGTACACCTTTTCGAAGCTTCGCTCTGTCGGTAGATATAGACGCCGTTTGTTGTTCTTCGCCTTTTTAAGAGACACCGCGTGTCGTCCTTTTTTCTACGGATCGGCATTATTGCCACGTCATTCCGGAGACAATAGCATGCTCCATCGTCAGCCACGGCAGAGGATAAATTCAGTTTGTTGCCTACTCGATTGTTTGGACTACATACTAAAGAGTGTTTGCGTCGGACAGCATTGCTTCGAAAATTTCTACGAGATGCGCGCGCAACTCACCAACAATATTTCAATTAAGCTCGCAACGTTACGTCGCATTTCTCTATCAAGGTACGCGAGGATCTCGCCAAAAAGAACATTTAGTGACTCGGCTCTGCTGCCACGGGACAAGACTCCGAGCCTAATGAAAATTTCAGAGTAGCGGCAGCATCCCTTTTCTCGCTCGTTTTTGTTTATGAAAGCATCCGAGCGTCGTATAATACACCTCGAGCAACGAGAAATCGAAGGCTGCTGCTGCTGCTGCTGCTGCGCGAACCGTCCCCGGGGCATAATTTTCCATGCGAAGGGCGAAAAATATTCACGGTTCCTTAAAAATCGGCCACTTACTCTTTTTTTCCTTTTTTTCCTTTTTTTCCTTTGCCTCTCTCCCTCTAGGGCCGCTAGCGTCACACGAACGACTAGACCGAGAGCCCTTTCGTTATCACTGCCCTCGAGACACGAGCTTTCCCTGCGTACATACATAAATTTCTAATCTGTCGGGTGATTCCATTGCACGATACTTATAATCCGACGACTTTGTCTTTCAGTCGATCAGATGTACCGTCACTGGCTGCACTTGCGAATCCTTCACGCCAGGAAAGCGCCATCTTCGCTGCTGCCAAAACTGTCATCACGGATGGGTGCCACACGGTAAGACTTGTCCACTTTCAATTCACCGCCGAGACAATGAATAAATAAGCTATGAATTATCGAAGGCCGACATAATCTTCGGCTGTATATAGATATATCGCGATACTTATGCGGGGAACGTCCTGTGGGACAGAAATTCAATTTCGTGAGGCCGACGATGACCAGTGCGCGCGACCATCCCTTTTTGCGAAGATTGAGAACAGCGATCCCCGCGATATAAGACTGCCAACTTTATGCGCTCGTATAACTTCCAAAATCTACGTGCCAAAGCAACGCGTTTCGCTTTTCATACCAATGAGGCGCACTGCAGGTGCAAACTGTCTATTTATCATCTCGATTCGTGCAATCGCGTAATAGATTACTCGTCATTTTTGTTTTGTCTTCTGTATGTAGCTACATTTGCCTATACGTATCGCCTCATTACAGCCGTCTATCGTCCGGGGGCAAGGAACGAGAAAAGAGAAAACAAAGAAAAGTAAGAAATCATAAATTCCAAACGGACACAATGCTCGTAAACGTATCGCAAACTTAAAATTCCGAACGCTTGACCAATGTGAGCGATAGATTGGCCGTGCTACGAAATACATATCAATTTTCTCTCTCGTCGGTGTGCTGTATATATATATATATAGTGTCCCTTGGGAATAAAGCTGCCGCTGCATTTTCCAACGGCGCCTCTTCCATTTATTCTCGTGCGGGAACGGCCCGCGACTATTATATCGCCTGCATATGACCGGACGAGGCGAATTTCTTCCTCCTTTTTTTACTCGTTCTCTCTCCTACCGCTATATTTCCATCGAAACGAGCTTGCAAGCGGACCACCACGCTCCTTTGGGACACTTCGTACCGCATGCGATAGCAGAGGCGGACGGCGATTTTCCACTTGAGTGCTTATTTTGTCTTTTTTTTCCTTTTTTCAGCCACTAATGGATACCATTATTTTGAGTTGTCTTCTTGCATGGTTTTATTTATGCAAGAAGTTATTTAGTAGGTGTCCAATTTTTTAGCAGTTTCAATAAAATTAGAAAAACGTTTCCATGTGTATTTTCTCGATGCGAAAACAGTGAGATCATTTCACAACATCCGATCAATACTGAAACAATATGTTGCAAAGACGGATCGATAATCATTATATCAATTACGCATCATTAAAGCTCGCTTCCAATGATCATTACTGTCAGTGAGTCGGTAACATTGATATCACGACTGCGGCGCGCATATTCAAATGAGGAGTCATTAAATTGGTCCAGTCAATAACTCGCTAAGCAGTCCGTTACGCAGAGACCCTTAACAATCATGTGTTCTTTCTTCTGCTTCCTTCTTTACAAATGATGCTACTCCGGCAGTGGTGAAAGTCGACGATTTATACGTCGCGCATAGCGAAAACGTCATCGTGGCGATGCATCAATTTTTGTGCGTGAAATAAAAAGGAGAGAGAGAGAGAGAAAAGGAGAAACAGAGAGAGAAAGATAGTGGATCCCGCACCCTCTTTTCTGTCCTCGCTGTGCAAGAGAGCTGACAGTTTGACACCGCGCGAAAAAATATCCGTTGGAAAACACACGGGGCAGCGCTCGCTGACAAAGGCAGCTCTTTTAAATTGTAATGAACTGCCAAAGAGTGAGTTATGTGCCGTCCAGAAGTGTGTGTCCTCTCTCTCTGTCTCTCCTCTCTTTGTCTCTTTCCCCCTCCCTCTCTTTCTCGTCTATAAAAGTCCGCGCGCGAGAGAGCCACCCCACGTCATGAATATATTTACATTGATCGCGAGCGCGTCTCGGCATTTTTCATTTGCCCGAGTCCTCGTCTTCTCGTGTACGTGTGTACTTTATTCATACGTCGCCTCGGGGTCCACACTCCGAAAATCCTTGCCAAGCGCTCGACGCACCGATGAACTCGTTGCCGCGCGCGCGCGCGGACATCGACTGCGACGCTAACGACCCGAGTCTTCCACCCGATACATCTCGCTTCTTCTTCTTCTTTTTTTTTTTGTTTGCCCGTCTGGACCCCGCGTACGAATCCCCAAGTGGCTACGACCATTCCTTCGAGGATCGCTTAGATTATGAAAAATTATCGGCAGATGCGACGATCTGATGCTGACGTTATTCGGTAATGTGTTGCATGTAAAGCTAGCGTTCTTTATTCTGATCATGTACATTTTGATGATAAAATCTTAATGTTTTACGTGAATATTAAATGATTCAGATGTAACTCAGCCGCGATAAAAGAGTTAAGAGCAGAATTTCGACTCTATTTCGTTCACGTGCTTGTCATATTTGTTTATTACCGTGATCGGAGAGACGATTTTTGGTAAAACTCGTTGTTTTCATTGCAAAGGGACAATTAATTCAACTGATTACTATCGAGAAAGTTGAAAAATATTTTATTTTCAGCTATTGAATATTTATTCATGGCCAATATTATTCTTGCTTCTTTAATACATGAAAAAGATATTAATTATCAAACAATCACAGCAAAGACAAGCGTCACTTAATATCCAACCGATAAAACGGTGTCACCAGCATAAATCGACAAACCCCAATTGAGAGCTGATGCTTGCAAGCTCATTTTCACTCAAATAAGCGCACTAAAATTAAAAAGAATAACGCTACGCGCATAAATAGAGTAGAACACGTTTACGTGAGATATCAGAACGAGACACGGCGTTCCGAGCGAACGCGCCTACACGCCGCCGCCGCGTAATTGGCTTTACACATAAATGCTCTTTAATCACGCATCAATGTGCTCCTCATCGGCGCGCATCGATTGAAATCTACGCGGCCAAACGGGGCTACACTTCATTTTCTCTCTCTCTCTCTCTCTCTCTCTCTCTCTCTCTCTCTCTTTTTGCTCCCTTCCGATATCTCCTACTCCCATTCAACGATAAAAAGCGCATAACGCGCGTCAGCTAATAAGGCGTTCATCTCTTATGTCGGCGTCAATTCAAACACATGCTCGTCATATTGAATTAGTTAAGTTATTGCAAAGGCGAAAATTCTTGATAAATTTTAAACGAATTTTCGGATTCAATAGCCATCAATAGGTTCAAAAAATTATAAAAAACGCTAGGAGTTCAATTCAGCGTTTTACCTCCATTAAAAACCGACTTTAAATTCACTCTCATTAAGCCATACTCGACCGAACCTCGTTTATCCTCTTTGGTACTTATCCATCATATTCCACTCTGAGCTCTTTTTCATCCTCCCTAACAACGTTTTCGTGCAATTAGTTCACATTCAAACAGCCATTTTTTATTCTTCGATTATTAATTTCGCATCCAATCGTCCAACTCAATTATTCAAATAGCAAGCACGGCATCGATTTACAGGATGGATTAAAGTTAAGGGCTAATCCATCGCCGAAGTTCATGCAGCCGTGGCGAAAATGTGACGCGCCACGCGAATTGGGCAAAGCAATTCAGCCGGAAATGAATCGTTCAATGAGAAAGCCCATGTAACCACACGCCCATAAGAAGCGAGAGAAGTAACGACAGGATTGAAAGGCAACATCTGCGTCTTTCGTCCGTGCCACATCGTCATCGGCAGCTGTTGCTGGAAGAAGTTTGCTCGAACTTCGAAAACAGCGAATATGAAATCGTTTGAGGGGGAAAAAAATCGCAAAAAAGGCGCACTTCACTTTTACTCCGGTAGAAGTTGCATTGTACCTTCGATGACGACCAGACTAAAGACATAAACTCCCGACAAAACAACGTAAAGCACCTCTTAGCAGGTGACACTGCCGCAAGCTTAGAAGACTCCGCAGCTTCGTGCCAATATAAAAACTCATTTGCGCTCTTAAATCAGTCTTAGAGTCGCTTATGCAAGGCGTATCCAAAAGTGACGCACTGCATAGTGAACGCCTTAATAAACTCGCGGGCGCATAGCTAGCCTGTAAATTACCGGCGTTTCGCGGGCTGTTGTTTCACGCTCCCCGCGGTGAAATTCTCTCTCTCTCTCTCTCTCTCTCTCTCTCTTTCTCGCTGCCACGAGACCCCGAGGCGACACACCATAGCCACTTTTCTGAAGGGGACATGAATATATATACATGTATATATATACATATACATATGAGTGTGGATATGGTCTTTGTAAGCAGGCGTATCCTTTTTGATAGCTTGTTCTAATGCGAAGCTCATGCTAATGGCAACGAGGAACTTGCGACATATACATTTCTATGAATCATTTTTTTATTTTGAAAAGGGCGTTTGTTTCGGGGCTATAAAGTGGATTCTTCTATTATTATTATTATTATTATTATCATTATTATTATTATTATTATTATTATTATTATTATTATTATTATTATTGTTGTTGTTGTTGTTGTTGTTGTTGTTGTTGTTGTTGTTGTTGTTGTTGTTATTATTGTTATTATTATGGAGTAAAAAATAAATCTTTTAAGCTACAACAAAATCCTTGTTGATGAAGAGATTGATGTTTGATGTGGGGAAAAATTATTGTGGCTCGGAGAGAAATAAAATCGTTTTGGACGAATATCACTTGTTTTTTTTCTTCTGAGGTTCCTGATTGCATGACGTAAAGGAATGACAAAGATCGGGGCTCTTTGATCTCCGGCGAACTATTAACTGTGATTGACGACTCAAACGTGAGATTAATGAGTTCAAATTTGAAAACGTCAAAGTTTTGAAATTAAAAATTTAGAAAGGAGGCTGGCTCTTGAAGCTGAGCATAAGAATAGTATTCAAAGTGTTTTGAAAATAGTGTATAGCTGCATTATTGTAGTGCTAACTAAATATTAGTAAATAACAGAAAGTTTAGAATGAAATACAAATGTTTTATAAATGTTAATTCTGTCACAAATGACATCACCAACAATTCATCATCATCTGGATTTTTCTGAAATAAATCATTATTACAACACGAACTTCTCGACTTGTTCGTCATCTAGTCAGTAGTCGCACCTTATCTTCACTTTCTCTACGTCCTCGGAATTCTTCCCTGACAATCAATCGCACAGTTCGTCCCTGCGAATAAAAGCGCAGCATTAAG